TCCCCTCATCCAGAAAATGATGATGCTGAACGCGATGAGCCGTTCTTTCAGAGGGGTAGCGCAGGATGGGGGTTGTTGGGAGGAAAACAAGATCACAGAAAGAGGAATCATCCAAGCTGGTGTCTGTTGGGGCTTCTCTGCTCCTCCAGAGGCTCCCAAATGGGTCCTGGCTGCTCCAGCTGCATGGTGAGGACCGCTGCCATCGGTTGTTGCATCTTCATGTGGGATGTGATGAATTATACCAAGAGCTGGGGACTCTGGTGTAAATAAACCTTCTGCTGTTGGTGTGGGGTGATGGCAAGGGCCGGTTTGGGTCCCTGTTTGATGGGCGAAAGGCATGGCAGGGAGCTGGCTCGTGAGGCTTGCTGGGGATGGAAGTAAGGCTCTTCTCTTTGGTGGCCATCCAAGTCACATCATGATGTTACTGTTTAGATCTAAGGAAAATAAACAGCCCCCTGCCCCCATTCCCAGAGAAATGGGATGAATTTATGGATAAACTCACTTGTTTTGTATACCCTAGCTCCCATAAGCAGAGCAACGTGCAGCCTTGTAGAGCTGTGGCCAGGGAAGGTGTGCGGCACGCGTTTGGGGAGCCCGTGCTGGGACAGGAGCTGGTTAAGACAAAGGATGAAGGGATCAGGTCTCTGCTTTCTAAAACGAGGGTTGGTTTTTTTTACAAAAACAAAGTAATCACATAAAGTGCCGTTAAGGGAGTGTTTCCTGTGGAAATTGCCATCAGCCCAAGGTTAGGGTGTCTTGGTTGTTGTGTCACTGCTAACGTGGGCTCCTGAATTTAATACAAAGCAATCAAATATTGTTTGTTATGGAGCAGGTGAAGAAAACAAGGCAAAAAAAATGTTGTTGGCTTCCGGTGTTTTACTGAGATGATGTGCCTTTGGTTTCCCCCTCATCTGCCAAGAGTCAATAAATCCCGAAAACATGTAGGCGTTATTAAATGTGTTTCTATTGGATGCAATAAAACATGAAGATACGATTAAAATGTGCAAAGCTTAGGAGTCATCTGACTTCTGCACCTAAAAGACTTGGGCAGCTGTTTGTGTGCCTGAACAAGGTGTGTCGTCTCCGAAGACGGAGCAAAGAGCAGTCGGTGGTCGCTGCCCGTGTCCGGTTGCAGGGTGCAGGGTGGTGTGTGCCGTGGGGTGTTGCGTGCAGGGGGTGTTGCATTGTGGCAATTCCTCATTGCCTGACCCAACGCAACCCAACCAGCTCGGACAAGCGTGTGTATTGCGAGGGCAGGGCAGTACCACGCGTATGGGGTGGTGGTGTTTTGGGAAGGCAGCACAACGGCCTAAATGGTGGCTGTGGTGTTATTTAAAGTTCAGCACATAACGAACGCAGCCGTGTCTGAATACACATCTCGAGATGGAGCAGGTGCCTGTGTGTTTGTCCTGAGGCTTGTCTTGAGTCCGTGGGAGCCGGGAACACAAACCCATAGACCTGAATCTCCGTCTCCCCACCTAGACAAAGGGCGCCGTCTCCTCACGACAGCCAAACCTGTCTTTTCCCAGGTCTGAAGTGCGTGTGCCAGCTGTGCGAGCACACCAACTTCACCTGCCAGACGGAGGGGGCCTGCTGGGCGTCCGTCATGCTGACCAACGGGCGGGAGGAGGTGGTCAAGTCCTGCGTCTCCCTGCCGGAGCTGAACGCGCAGGTCTTCTGCCACAGCTCCAAGAACATCACCAAGACCGAGTGCTGCTACACCGACTTCTGCAACAACATCACCCTCCGCCTGCCCGTCGGTAAGTGCTGTCCGTGCAGAACGCTGCTCAGAGGTGGGTGTTGAGCCTGAGAGAGCAGAAATACAACATACTGTGTGGGGTTGTGGCCGTGACAGCCAGACAAGGGGGATTTGAAAGGCTGGGTGCGTTTTTCCCAACTTGTTTCAGGCAGGAAAAGCTAAACTGCAGCTCTATTTGGGGAAAAGTTAATTTCTTGCATCTCCTAAAGAATATTCTTTGATATCCTACGAGGCATTAACCATGGAGAAGAAATGAAGTGTCTGAAGGAAATGGACTTGTAACCTCACAGGTTTTATGGGCTGGAATATCTTAAGGGAGTTTGTGATTTGGTTTGGCATTAGTCTGGATGTTAGGAAGATGATATTTGATGTACTGGGGGTAAATCGGCAATGTGAATTAGCAGTTGTGAGGAGCAGAGAGTCATTAAGTGGTGCTTCACAGGGAAATAATTAAGACCTTGGACCAGCCAAAGTTTAACAGTCTCAATTTAAAAGATCTGGTTTAGGTGGCTCAGTTGAGGATTCAGACTGAGAGATTTGTGGAGAAGGTGGTCAGCTGTGGATGCTCACAGTGAATTGTATGTGGGGAGCAGACAAGGGTCTGGGTTGGTGGTGAGACCCGCCCTGTGATTGGGGAGTCCTCCAGCCCACGAGGGGGCGCTCTCCTCGCTGCCCTGGGCCAGTCTGTGTCACCAAGTGCTGCCACATCTCTGTGGCCTGGACCGTGGAGCAGCCTGCAGCTCCTGTTGGGCGCTGTGCGTTTGGAGCAGGGGGTGTGCGGTGGTGGCTCCATCGTGGTTGGGGTGGCAGAGGCATCCTCTCTTGGTACGGGTTGTTCATAGGGTCTTCTACTGGGGACGAGAGGGGTGAAGGACACCGAGTCACAGAGTCATTTGGCTGGAGAAGACTTTTAAGGTCATGGGTCCGAGCGTGAAGCCGTTGCCAGGGCACGTCCCCGGCTGGTGCTGTTCAGTGATCTCGTCAGCCTGTCCTGACCCCGGGGTTCTGCAGGTCGTTTTGGCAGTGTGTGTCTTTGGTGTGAGAGCTGTGTCATCCATCCCTGCCCAGCAGGGTTGAGGAGCTGCCGGCTCCTGGTCCCAATTAGAGGGAAGAAGAAGATTGGCACCTCCAGGAGCTCTGTGTGTTGACAGCCGGGGCAGTGCTCGAGGCTGCCAGGCTCAGAATTGGGTAACAGAGTCGATTCAGTGCTTTTTAAAATAAATATTTATACTGTTGTTGTTTGATTATTTGACTCTGCTTTCCAAGATTTGTGTTTAATCCAGGCTTTTTGGAAAAAGCTGTAAAATGTGCTACTTTGCCAGATGATACCTTTTTATATACTTACACTAGTGAGAGGTGTTACAGGTAGGAAAGAGGCAAATTAATGCATAATTTACGGTTACAACTTGCACTTCAGCTGCTATCACATCGTATGCAGTGCAGTTTAAAGGGCCGTTGGTGGGAGGACAGGCCATGGGGAGCTGCTGTCCAGCCTTGGGGACTGTCACCTCCTGGGGACCGCAGATGCCGGACGGTTCCCACCAACCTCAGCAGGGGACAGGGAGCTCCGTGCCCCACCTCACCTCTGCCTGTGGCAGGAACAAGGACTATTTAAGTATTTTTCATTCAGTTGACAGTGGATGGGATATAATAATAGCAGTTGTGTTCAAGAAATATAAAAATAAAATGCCTTTTTTTTTTTTGAGTAGGGATGCTGGGATTTTGGGGTAAAACGGCTATTTACAGAGAAGTGGTGGAGGCATGTCTGTGCCCCGGCACTTGAACTGGTGGTTGCAAAACCTCTGGTTTCATATCTCAGTACCAGAGAAAATTAATGACTTGATTTTTAGCCTGAGAACCTTTGCTCTCAACATTTGGGGCAATTCATATCAGTCGAATAGTTAACAGTGCCAATGCGATTTGTTGGCTGGTCTGTTCTGGCAGCCCCCTCTTTGCATAATTCCTGTTACAGGAAATCTTCATTTGGACTCAGTAGAAGTAAACTTTCCAAGGGGCATCTGCCATTGTGGCACCCATGGCATTGCCTCAGGAGGTTTGCTGGCCATGGCGGAGGTTTGCTGGCCATGGTGGAGGTTTGCTGGCCATGGCGGAGGTTTGCTGGCCATGCTGGCTGGCTCTACCTTGGGGAAAACCAGTTTGGACCAGGTCACCTCGCCTGCCTTGGTAGGTGCTATTCTTGGAAACAGCTGTTTCCAAAGCGAATTTTTAGGCTGCTCCTTGCCCAGCTTGTACTTCTTCCTCCTTCACTTCTGGTCTTATGCCGCACTTGGAAACCCAAGTTCAGATCTTGGGTTCCAGGGCAAGAAATGTAAAATGCAGTCTCCACAGCATGTAACCAGCACTGGAACCATCAGCTGGTGTGACACAGCGTGGAGGCAGCTCTAGGTTCAGTGATTAGTCTGTGATCTTGCATTGTCAATGTTCTTGTTTCCACTGCCGGGTCCGGGCTAGGCCTGGACTCACGCAGCCAGGACTTGCTGTGCTGAGGCCATGCTGGGGTGAAGGGCAGTGTTGTCTGCAGCTCCATGAGGAATGGGCAGCCTCCTCTTCCTCATCATGTCGCTGTGCGGCTTCTCATGTGCTGGTTGTCCCTCATCAGCTGTGGTAGGAAACCAAGGACATGGAGGGGCTGGAGCATGGCCAGAGAAGGGCAAGGGAGCTGGGGAGGGGTCTGGAGCAGCCAAATGATGGGGAATGGCTGAGGGAGCTGGGGGCTCAACTGGAGAAGAGGAGCTGAGGGGAGACCTTATCCCCTCTGCAGCTCCTAAAGGAGGGGATAGAGAGGGGGGGTCGGGCTCTGCTCCCCATAACAAGTGATGGGCCAAGAG